TAATGAATTCCTTTTGTGTAAAATGTACTGTGAAAGTTGCACATCAAATTATCAATCTTCTGCACACTGCTTCTCTCAGGGTATTGTAACTAGGTTTGAGTTTGTTCAGCACATTCAGTAAATAATAAACTCCTTAGTGATAGTTTTTTCTTCGTTTGGGTTGATGTTTTTAAGTACTGTTGTCTTGCTAAAACTTTAAAAAGTTAGTTCCTAAGATATCTCTGTTTGCCAGTGCCAAAGTGTTATGCAATAGAAACTGTCACTTTTTTCATTTCCTGAGTGGATCTGTCAAGGACGTACTACATCAAAGTATGAGTTTCCTTTGAGTAGTTCGCCTTCAGAGCTGTGCTTCCATGTGCCATGGGAAATGTTGGCATGGGATGGCTCTTTTGTCTCTTGCTCCCTTGCATGTGCAGCTGAAAGTTTCCGTTCCTTTTATATCTGTGCTGTTTACTTTTCATCTGTTTTGGTGGTTTGGCAATACATTAATCCCTGGTCTTTTTTGCATTTGATTATATGAGGGCAATCTGATTTTCATTTTGTTGTTTGTGTATAATGACACTGCTCAAGTTTGTATCACAGTAAGACTGGGATGCTGCTGCTGTGTATAAATCCAGCCTCCAAAGATCAGCGCATCCCTGGGCATGCTGCTTCACATGGTGTCTTTTTTTGCTATTTGTATTGCTGTGTTGCTTAAAACGGCCTGGGTTAGCTGTACACACAGCCTGCGTGTGGGTGAGCAGTTGGAGACAGGTAGCACCCTCAGTTTTTATAGTTGGCTGAACAGTAAACCAGAGTAGGCCACTAAGGAACCTCTGATGAGAGAAGAGACATTTTAAATCTGTTTTAGGCTTGGATACAGTTTGTCAGGCATGCCTTTAATGTCTTCTCTTTGAGCTGCACGTTTAAGGCAGAGAAGGAAGTTGCGACAACTGCATGACTGAAGTGAGAAGGAAGCAGGGATGTTCAGGAAAAGAACTTAAAAGAGAGAACAATGAAATATGAGAGAAGCAGAAAGGAAAGGCAGCAGGAAAAGGTATTGCGAGCAACAGCCCCCAAAGGAACGGTGTTCTTCCATTCACCAAAAGTGTTGTCAAAGTAGTAGTATGTAATACGTATTCTTATCATGACAGCGTTGCAGAAAGCCTGCATTTTTAAATGGATCATTAAAGATACTGATTGATTAGACCTTTTTTTAAAGGTCTAACTGTGACTCAAAAGCATCAGCCACCTGCACCTATTACTGTCATTAGAAAGCTTTAATAGGCTCCTGAGAATACCCCAAGATAGACGTTGGAACTGTTTGCATATTTCAGAAAACAATTTTGGAATGTGCTTAGGCATATCCCTTGATTCGTGTTTCCATTAAGACTGCCAAGTGGGAAAACGCACATGTTTTTTCTTCACCTATCTTCTGTTCTTTCAATTTGGTACTATTCTGTATTCAGTTCAGTGAGCACTTCTTCATCGGGGTTTAAATTTGTTGTGTTTATGATGTTAAAAAAAATAAATTTGAAATTGTCTATGTTAGATCTGACATTACTGAAAAAGTACTAAATGAACCAAAGATTTAGCAGTTAGTTAACGAAGCTGCTAATGCTTGTACACTATTTTATGAATTGGTAAATCAATATATCCTCAGTAGTCCCAAATCTCAGGCAGCTTGTCTTCAGTGGTTTTGTAGCTAACTGCATAATTTCCAATTGAAGGTCCCTCACAGTTCCCTATAACATGCACTGCAGTTATCCACTGTGGCTGTTCTGTAGGTTCTGAATGTTCTAAGGGAGAAAAACATTTCCTAATTCATTAATACACTTACGTGATTCCTATGAGGGTATGACACAGAGATTGCAATCAATGCCTTGAGACACCTAGTAAAAACAAACAATTTTGAAATGATTGCTTGATTAACAAAAACTCAATCATGCCTAATTTTCTAGTATGGTGCAGCCAAACAGTGCATCTTCAGCATCATGCAAAGTAGAATGAGTCACAAATAAATCCTTGGAGAGGCACATGATATCATCATAATCATATCACATAATCACATAATATATCACATAATCAGAACAGAGACCAAGTCCACTGAACTAGTATGTTAATTTCATTAAGAATGATTTCGGGTTGTTTTCATGTGTTGGTGAAATGGGGCCCAAATTGGAAAGTGGTACATCAGCCTGACCAGTGATATATGTTCAGTGTTCCACAGTGGAAAGCTCAGACGAAATACAATTGCCATATAAAATGGCAATTAAAAATATTTTTATTCTATTTTCTTCCTTTACAAGGTGATGCAGAAGTATTAAGTTTCAGTAGTAATACCCTGTTTAGGTTTTATTCTTTAGAGTAAGGATCTGTTCCCTTCTCCTCCTGCATCTTCTGAATGTGGTGATATTTCCTACATTTTAAAAGCCTGCTATGCAGTTCTTCTCTTTGTGACCTTCCATATTACTTTCGAGTATTGAGTACACTTCCCTGCCCTACCTCTCCTCTCCTTGGGCTGCTGGAATACGTAGGGCTGGAAGCAGAGAGCCGCTGTCGGCATCGCAGCTCTCTGGGTCTGGAGAAAATTCAATATTGGCAAGACACATTCCCAAAACTGTCTCATGAAGCCCGACACCCAGTATAGTGTGAAACGTCCGAAGGTTATCGCTGGTCAGATAAATAGGGGGAAGCATGTCTGCTCAATGTGCAGGGCTCGAATGGTACAAATAGGGTATATTCTGCTGTTGTGTTGAAACCTTTCATTGCCTGGATTTGCTATGTGTTCGTCATCCTTATCGTTTTGCTGCTTTGCATCCTGATATGCATTTTACTTTTTTCTGTATGATTTTTTTGTATGATATACATGCTTTTTTTTGGAAGCTACTCATCCTTTACTGTTTTGCATTTCAGGGAATGATTTTGCTTCCCTAGTTCGACTGTTTGCATTTAGTATCTTCCAGTGTTTATTATTATGAGATCTATTTTTTCCATATATATAGGTATAGCAGCAAGTATTATACAGTAGTGGCAGAGCAAAGCATTGCAAATCTTCTGCTTGTAGCCTAGTGATACTCCTGAAATAATAATCAAAATTATGTGTCTTATTTCTTGTAGGTTTTTTTGCTTTATTTTTTATTGATTACCGTTCCAAACTCTCAATTTCACAACTCCAGCTTGGCAACAGATGAGGTCTTTGCAATTGCAATAAAAAAATATTTTTTTTTCTTAAGAATTGCAAATTTTGATGACAGTTTTGTGGTGTTTGTTGGTATTCTCTTAAGTATGGCATTATTACTAAGTTTAGATATCTGTACCCTTAACCTGGCTTATCTGTAAAGAAAGTGAAGAAAGGAACTAAGACTCAATTTAAAAGGATTTGAAATGTTTTATTTTCTACAGAACTATGAAAAAATGGTTTAAAATCATTGTTTAAATCCTGCTTTACTGGAGTTATGCAAACTTCTAGTGAAATAATCATCTCATATCGGTTGTGTAACACTCTGTGAAGAGAGTAAAAGCAGACCTCAACATTTTTGCTGCACACACCTACCACTGCTTCAGCCTGGGCAAGTCAGAGGGGTTTTGAGGCTAGGTGCCTACAGCACAGGTCCGATTCCTGCCTTCTCGGTGTACGAACTCTTGCTCTAGCCAAGAACTATCTGTACAAAGGTTCAGTCCCTCCTGTTAAGACTCAGAGATGAATCTGTCCTTCTCTAAAACCTTAACTGTCCGAAGCTGTTTTCCACAGATTTTGAGGTAGGAATTATAACTTGGCCCCAACAGAAAGAGTGATTGGGCGTGTTTTTTAAATCAAATAGTTCAAGACATTTACTTTTTGCTTTTCTTTTCAGGATCAGTCCCAAAGGCTCTTTGTTTCTAATTTCACCTAGACAAGATCCATTTCTTTTGAAACCTTTCAGGATTGCAGATATTTCCCATTTGGGCAAAAAAATCAAGGGTGTTTTTTTGTTTTTATCAAAGTGGAGAAAGTCCTCAGCTTCGCTCTTGATACACAGTCAATCTTGCTGGAATACACAGTTAAATACTCCCCAGTCATCCGAGGCACTGCTAGCTTCAGGTTCCCACCAGAACCATGCAGTTACCACTTGGTCATCTTACGTGAACGCTCTTACCATCTGTATTCTGGTGTGGATGTTGCTCATTTGCCTCTGTTCGAAGCTGTTCTGTGGGTTTGTTGAGAAATTCAGAGAATCGTACAATCCTCCACGTTTTTATTTCCCTAGCAGCAAAGTTTAATTCCATCCTGCATCCTGTGCTGCTGTTGTAGAGACATGGGGATTCCTTTGCTTTGCAACGATGAGTCTCAGCTTTTGAGATACCTACTGAAAATACCAAGTTCAGTTAGTTATTCATCCGCACGGTTAAGATGGCAGAAGGGTATTATTGTCCTTAAATGTTTAAGTTCTCAAATTCTGTAGACAGGGAAATGAAACAAAGTCTAGTATTAATGTAAACATTAAAATTTGTGCACTGTGAGCTTCTACTGTAAGAAGTTTTTAGTAAAAAAATTAAACTTTCTTTAAATATTGGTGGAATATAAGTGGTAAGTGTTTTCTGGTTCAGAGAAAGAAAATTCTGACCCGTGCTTTAACCAGCAGAGTAGCTCTGCTCCCCAGATACACGCTTACCTGCCAGTTTACATGTGCAGAGATGAGATAGTGCTGATGTGTTGGTGGATTTAGACATTTGTCAGTGCAGCTGACACACCCATTTTTGGAAAGATGCTCGTCTTCATTTTGTTTAGTGTAATTACCAAGGAGCAAGTCCTCTTCATTTGAGTTAATACTGGGCTACTTCTTACTATGGCGTATTTTTAGATTTTGTTCTAGAAGATTTTCGAGTTCTGTATCTTGTAACTGTAGCACTGAAGAGCAAATTGCTGACAAACTGTTTTGAAGTGTGAAATGTGGGTTGGTTTGGTTTTTTTTTAATTTCCCTGTCGTTATTATGTTCTGTTCCTCAGAATGTTTTCTCTTTCTGTGATTCCTTTTCAGCTGCTGCACATAAAGTGTGATAATGATGAACATATGTTTCAAAGACCCTCTACTTTTTTCTGGTGTAACAGTGAGGATTCACCTCCTTGTTTAGATATCTCTTCCATTACGCTTACTCCTAGGAGTTCTCCTGACTCCAGACTACCATCTGGATTGTTAATACCACCACCTTCAAAAAGTGGTCTTCCAAAGCCAACCAGTGAATACAGCTGCCCAAGACCTCGTGTAATCCTGCTGTGCAAAAGCTTTTTCAGTTTTTTTTTTTCCACTTTGTCGTATATTAACTTGTTTTAAAAAAATGTGCATTTTGTACAGTGGTTAAAGGACAGAGCAGATGTATCTTACATTCTCTAGGGATACTCTAAATATGGAATTTGTGAAGATTTATTTCTACATATTTTTTTCTCTCCCACCCTCAGAACATAAATTCTTATTTTCCCAACATGTTTAAATTAGTCAATTAATTACTTCTGTGTTATCTGTTAATCTTTTGTTAAAATTATTTATACTAAAAATAGTTATTGAAACCAAACAATTCTAAAGGTCCAACCTCAAGGGCTTCCCCCTGCACACAAGTTAATAGAAAAGCAATCAGTCGTTAAATACCTTTTAGCATACTTTATAAAAACTCTGTGCAAAATGAAGGTTGAAGATTATTCTTAAAATGGGCATATTGCCTGCTTTTAGTAGCAATATGCTTACGCTCTCAATGTTTCTTCCATTTGCAAGTAACACTTGGCTGTATGTGGCAAACACCATGGCTTTCTGCATGTGTTCACTGAAGTGCTTCTAGTGCTCATGTGTATTCAAAATATATATTTCTTAAAATAACGAAATTGTAGTTTTACTTGAACTAGCTGTATCAGTAGTGTTAAAGTGGCCAGTAACTTCAACAAAATTGCATATAGGCAGGAAATGACAGCGTAAAGTTTGTGTTTGCATTTCTTGCCTGAAAGACTTATTTAAAACTAAAGATGAATACGGTTTGTTTAATTATCTAGCTTCTAGGTAGCCATAAACACTGAGCAAGTAAGGAGAATCTACATTAGCATGTACTATCTTCAAGACATTCTAGGATTCTCCATCGATGTTGATGGGAGATGTAGGTTAATATGTGGCCTGTACCTGTGCATTAAACCTGATCCGACCTTCCTGATGCCAACAAAGCCTGTCTGTACGAGAGCTTTGTTTGTGCAGAGAATGGACCAGGAGATTCACTGGGTGTTTACTTTGGGTCAAGCACATCCATTGCCCTGCTTTGAGTGGGAGCAGATGACATCCAGCCGTCTCCCTGGCTGAAATTATCCTGGTTCTCTGGCTGTGTGCAAAGGTTCCAGGAGGTTAATGCAAGGTCCATGCGCAGAGTAATGAGAACCTGTTGTGTCTAAACAGTGTGCACTGAAATCTTTCTACGACAGACTGTCTTTGAAATCGCTATACTAACTCATGTTGAGGTCAGTAAGAGTAAAAATCTTAGAAATTAGTTATTTTATGAAGTTAATTCAGCTCCGGTCTTGCCAGGGAATAACAAGAGATATCAAACAGTTCTAGATCTTTGCTAATCCAAATTTGAAGTATGAATTCAAAACTCCTAAGAAATAGGAAATGTAGGACTTCAGAGTCTAGTTTTTTCTTTAAGCAGTGTGTTCCATGGATCAATGTCCTTTCCTTCTCAGCAGCCACTGCAGCCTCCAGAGAGAAGCAGAGGTAGTTAGGACTGCCTACTCTCAATAAAAGGATCCATGTGACTCGTTTAACTTGTGCTTAAAAATTTTCAGGTGAATATTTTGGTCAAGTGGAATCTTATTTAAGAGTAGCAGGCTTTCCCTGTGCCTAGCTCTACAGTCTTTCTAACAGAGGGAACACAGGGTTTTTTATATTGTCTAAGTAATAACATTAACATGCAAACTAGTTTTGCATACGTATTTTGGCTTCGGCTTGTCAGTCTCAGTTTTAACCTATTTCATCATCTGTCTTTAGTGTTCAGTTTATTCTGACTTGACTGTGCCTCATGTGCATCCTGAAGTAATGGGCTGATGGCAGGAAGAGTTAATCATTAAAAAATAATTATGGCTATAGAACAATAGTAAAATTCCTGGGCCTTGCTAAAGAGATCTCTTATGTTCCACATTCAAGGATGAGTTTTGTTTTGGATATTAATATTCAGTGTATTGCATGTTTAGGTTGTTATTTACCAAAAAATACATTGGAAGCTTTGATTGCACCAAGTTTTTTAGGTTGTCAAGTAAGTTGTAATGGAAGGAAATATTAGTGAAGAAGAAATATTGGGATTGCATCTTTTCATTTTAGCTGCTTGTTCTGTGCACTCCGGAGCGTAGCGTATTGTTGTTGCAGCGTTACCGTAAGTGGGTCTTGTGAACATGTCTGTATTCATCCATCTGCAATACAGAACTGCTTGTCACCAGCTTTTCCAGGTTTAACTGTGATACATTTCTGGCTGTACCAGATGGACTGGAAATGGAGAAATTACAATGCTGCCTGTGTATTGGAGAGTTTTAGCATGTCTCAGACTCTGAACTGCAAATGCCATTTGCTTGGTGTCAAGAGCTGGTTTTTGCATGCTGATGGTTACTTTTAACTTTTTTTAAAATGTGGCTCTTACCTGCATGCTGAAGAATTCAGTGTTGTGATCTTTTTCATGTGAAATATTGCCCTAATATTTATTGTCCTTATTGTAGGCAGGCAGTGTGACACCTAAATCACCCTCCACTGACATCTTTGATATGGTTCCCTTTTCTCCCATATCCCCTCAGTCATCAACACCTACCCGCAATGGTACACAGCCTCCTCCAGTACCCAGTAGATCTACAGAGATCAGTAAGTTTTGTAACAACTGACCTAATTTTTGCTTACGTGCTATTTTTTTTTAAGAAAGCATCTTTAAAGATTTACATACATTTTGCATGAAAAGCCAAATACAGTTTTTGTAAATCACATTCGATAATGACATTCCATTTTTATACCATCTTCCCAGTCATTGATGTTGCTGCCAAGTTATATTATAAATAAATTTACTTACTTGCTGAAGCTATTATATAAACGGTTTGAAGGAGTTTGGTTGGGGATTTTAACTTGGCTTTTCTTTTACAGTATCTTTTTGTACTTGCTTCAAGAAATACTTTTACTTCGTGTTCTTTCCTTGTCAATCCGCAGTTGTAGCATCTAAAGCCTGCTATTCGGGGGAAGACAGCAGGTGGAGTAAGTATGGTGGTGATGATGCAGAAGGCAGAGCTGAAGAAATCCCTCAAGATACAGACTGTCTTGGAATGCTATTTTTAGTACTACTTTTTGTATCATCTACTGCTTTTTTTCAGTTATAGTTGATTAACCTCTCCAGATCTGTGAACCAGTCCTAAAAGATCTTCAAAAGATGATTAACAATAGCAATTTTACTTTCCAGAGGCTTGAAAGCAGCTAGGGTAAGGTTTTGGCTTCACTGGAAATCTTTTAGGAGTCCACAAAGTATTTTTTTAAAGGTTTGGAAATGCCTTGGGGGAGAGGAGAGCAGAGAATACACAAGCACTGTTAGAGGTTGTAGAAATATCAGTCTGTGTATAATATTTTCTATTTCTGATGCCTCTTTTAGTATGGATAAGGAACACTAACGTTACTGCCTGCCACCATATAAAACCACATTTGAAGAGTTTCTGCCTGTTTGGGGGAATGCTGCTTGTAGGTAGAGTTTTCAGATATGAGCGAGCTGTGCACAATTATGAAACTGCATTGTAAAACTTAAGTCATAGAATCGTAGAATGGTTTGGGTTGGAAGGGACCATAAAGATCAGCTGGTTCCAACCCCCCTGCCATCAGCAGGGACATCTTCCACCAGCCCAGGGTGCTCAGAGCTCCATCCAACCTGGCCTTGAACATTTGGCCAGTGTTTCCCCACCCTCACAGGGAAGAACTTTTTCCTTAGCTCTAATCTCAATCTCCCCTCTTTCAGTTTGAAGCCACTGAACGTCTTCCCCAATACCGTATCCTACGCATCTTTTGGTTCCATTGCTTAGAACGACTGTCACCCTCTAGAGAGAAAGTGGACATAGAGGCTATTGATTCAATTAAAAAAAAAAATCTGTTCTTTTTTTAAGAAAAGGTTTTAAATTATTTTAAATTAATTTCTGTGGGTTTTTCAAAGGGTATATTAACAGAATTTTAAACTATTCTATAAACAAGAGTTTATATTAACTATTCTTAAATAACTTAAAAGAATATTAGAATATTGTAATGTAATGTTAGAATAAAACTGTTCTATTAAGAGAATTTTTATGGCTTTGTAAAGAACAACAAAAAAATAATTCAAACACCTCCTCCAAGAACTCCTTTTGTGTTTTCAAATTTGCTCCCCTGAAACCACAGACATTGCCATAAAATCGATCTCAGTGTGCATATCTAACTTCAAAAATTATAACTTGCATTGAATTACAGGATGAGATTTTTTTTAACTCTTGTCCTACCTCTGTTCCATTGAAAATGCGGCTAGAAATTTTGTGGGAGTCAGTGCTCAATGCTGAGGGGTCTCGAGAATTCCAGCCATATAGGTTTTGTAATTGTTTAATCAGTGGGTTTTGTAATATAGAAAAGACTATAAATACGTTGTTTATTCAGTGATAGGTACTGTTTAAAATAGTTGTTTCTTCTGCACTTCATTCATTTGTATTAAATTAGGATGATGTAGTTGAGAGACGTGGCAGTCAGCGTCTGTTAATTCTCTGTGCTCCTCACTGTGCCATGCTTGAGAGATTACAGAAGTACATCATAGTCTTCGTACTTTTGATCTCTGCTCTGTCGGTCTACGTCATGGTACTTTGTATGTTGAAAATTGTTACATCCATCAGTTATTAACACACTTAGGCGTATTTTAGAAGTGTATTTTGAAACAGGACTTCTGCTGTCTTAGATGAGAAAGTTCAGATCCCAGAAGCACCTCATTCAAGCTGTATAATGTTATGTTACCGTAATGACGTACAATAATGCGTTGGTTTATATGGTGTCATTGCTGCCAGCACAAGCAAGCTGGCATTTCTTTCTCTAATACAAGTCAGATAGGTGGCAACCAGGAGGAGCCAATGTTTGGAGCCTCACATTTTCTGAGGTCATCTTTTCATGTTCTTATCCCTTACTTTCCTTGTCACTGCACTTGAGCAGGTTTTTTTTCTTCCATCACTTTTGATCAAACTGCAGGGTGATTTTGTTGGACCTTGTAATTTTTATAACTTTCACCTTTATCGCATTCAGTAGTAAGCAACGAGAAAAATAAGGATGCACCATTGGTTTGCTAGTGTCAACCTCAGTTGCTCCATTTGTCTAAGTGAGGTTTGTCTGCCCGTTACCTAGGGAGGGCACTTGTGCTGCTCAAGCAAAATGGGCATTTAAAAGCTATAGTTCATCTTACTCAGCAACTGGCCAGTTTGACAGATCACTCAAGAATAACGCTGCACAGGGAAGACAGGTCCCATTTGCAGGAAACCGGTTAACAATACCAAGGCCTTTGGATTCCTCCAAGACCAAGAGCTTC